AATAATAATAATAATAATAATAATAATAATAATAATAATAATAATAATAATAATAATAATAATAAGTTGTAACAGGTTTGGATTATTGAAAGTTTGCCATGTATGTATTATTTAATAGGTAAAATTTATGAGGTAAATTTTATTAAGTAAAATTAAGAGCTTGTTTGGAAATTAGCTGTTAAATTTAGCAGTTAGCGGATTGTATTAGCTGTTTTGACCAGCGGATTGAATTAGCTACTTTGACCAGCAGATTATATTAGCAGTTTGTAAAATAATGTTTGGTAAAAGAACTGTTCAGAATTAGCTATTAGTAATATAAATATTTGAATATTTGAATTTTTTTTATAGATATGACAATTATTAAAAAAATCAAGTAATTTATGGTTTTTGAATTTGAAAGGTTGATTTAACAAAGTTCAATTTATAAAAAATAAATAATTTTTTTTACAACAAGTAATTAACTTTATATTTTATTTATTTAACTATTTAAATTCTAAACAATATATATAAAAAAAATTTGCATGAATTTTAAGTCCACGCTCATATTTTACAAAATTGAAAGCTTGTTACACTTCAATGATAACAATTAAACAAAAAAATTACAAAAGTAAACAAAACAAATAATGAACCAGAATAAATATTTTTAGATTTCCGTGAACTGAGGATCTCATCCCCTATGCAATATAAATGAAGTAAAAATAAAAGATGAGACATCTATTTTAGATAGGAAGTTAATAAACAAATGAATAAAAAGTATTCTTCCTCATCCGCTAACTCAAACCGCTCCATATTGCAGCGTTTTCTAAAACAGCTTTTTCACCCGATCAGCTGAAAAAAAAAGCTAGCTAACCAAACAATATTTTCAGCTGTTTTATCTGGTCAAAACAGCTATTGTAGCTTTTTTATGTGAAACGTTGTTAACCAAACGACGCCTAAATGTTATGCTAGAAATTATATATACTAGTTTTCGATCTTGTGCATTTGCACAGATGTAAGCAATGAGTTATTTGTATGCATATAATATTAAAATTATAAGTTTGATAATGATATTATATTTTAAACATAGAGTTATAAGTTATATTTATGCATATATAATATTAAAATTATAAGTTAGGTAATGCTATTATGTTTTAAAATTTGATCATTAGGTAAAATAAATAGTACATAACGATTTGATTGCCTATGAATCACTATATTGATTGCATAAAATGTAATAAATGTAATTTATGTATATTATTAGGGATCATGACCAATTAATTAGCTAAAAATATTAAATTTATTACAACAATTTCTTATTCGATTTTAAGAAATTTTACTATGACATTAAAACAAATTAATATATTTAAAAAATAATCACTTAGTCAGATAAAAATATAATTATATGTTTATGGATTTTTCATATATCGTTTCATATAATTATGTTTCATATATCGTTTAATGTGAAACATAATTATTAATTTTAATAGTAACTATTATATGATACAATAAAAAATATAATTATTACTCAGTTAATATAAAATGTAACAGTTTTTGTCTTAATTAACCTAAAAAAAGTGCAAGAAA